GCGGTGCCTCTCGGGGAGACTTCGTCTCCCACCCCTCTGACCCTGTACCAAATGCCTTGACACTGACTCATTCCTCCTCTGTGAGGGATCGATCACCCAGCCATTGCAGCACCTCGGTCCACTGGTGAATTCCAGCAACCTCTGTAACATAATTTCACCATCGCCAGCCAGGCCAGCCTGGGACAAGGGGTGCCCTAGAAGCTGAGGCTCCCCATCTCACTCTGGCCAGGTGGCCTGGAGACTGCACTTTCATCTCACTGAGCCTTAGTTTCTTTAGCTCTAAAATGGGATGAATAATCTTCCTCTCAACGCTGGTGAGGATGAGCCAGAACTCACGTGGAATGTGGATGCAGGGCTGGCCTGTGGCTGAGTCTGTGAGGATAGTTAGTATTTTATTGCTGGGGAAGTAAGAGCCCTGGAGGTTGGTCACGTTTGTCATTTTAAATGTTCTAGTAACTATAAATACACACACACACACACACTCATATATATATATATATATATATATATATCTATGGATAGATATATAGATATATATATACTTTTTTTTTGAGAGAGAGAGATTTTCGCTATAAGGCACATGTGCTCGCCAGAGAGACAGAAAATGAGAGACCACCCTCTGGGGGAAATGGCCACATTATAATCCCTTCTCTTCCATTTTTTTCTTGGGATTTTTGGCATGCATGCACATGTGCCCGGTATGAGTTTCAAGCTGCTGGGTCCGGGACCTAAACTGCAGTTGGCCACATGGGAGTCCAGGTCCTTAACCACTATGCCACCTGCTGTTCCCCTAGTAGCGAGAGTTTAAAAAGGCAAAATGAAACAGGTGAAATTAATTTTAATAATAGCTTTACTTAACCCATTATATTCAAAATATTATTGTTTCAACACGTAATGTTTTATTTTTAGGTTTTTGCCATAGGGCACGTGCATTCGTCAGGGAGAGACAGAGAGGGAAAGTGAGAAATCACCGCTCGGGGGCTGGGGGGCATGACCATGCTGCAATCCCTTTTTCCTCCATTCTCCTCCTAGGATTTTGGGTACGCACGCCTGATGTGATTTTCAAGCCACCAGGTCTAGGGCTCGAACCACAGTTGGCCATATGGGAGTCTAGCACCTTAAACACCATGCCACCTGCTATACCCACATAATTAATATTTTAAAAATTATTTATGAGAGGGCCAGGCATAGTGAGTAAGGAAGTCAGTCCCCACGTGACTGGACATGGCTCAAATCCTGGCCCTGGTGGCTTGGGAAACACCAGACATATGTGTGCAAGCTCCAAGTCCTGACCGGACAAAGGAATGGAGGAGGCAGGACTGTGGGGTGACCATGCCCCACGGGGAAGTGCTTTCCCTCTCTCTCTCACTCTCTCTCTCACTCTCTGTGTCTCTCTTTTCTGGTGAGCACACACACCCTATGGAATGTTAAAAAAGGTCACTAAAACTAAGAACTGAGTTTCTTAGTGCCAGGAGCCACATTGAGTGTCACTAGTGTGTGTGGCTGGAGGTGACTTGCTGAACAGTGCAGGGCTAATCCAGGCCCTTCATATCGGAGATGGGGGAGCTGAGGTCCAGAGAAAGGGCAGGACTTGTCCAAGGTCACATGAGGATTTAGGCGCCAGAGTGTAGGACAGTCTGCATTTGAGTCCTTCCAGGGCCACTGTCCCCTCTTCCCTGAGCGCTGCAGTGTGTCCGACTGATGCTTCCCTTTGGGTGGATTCATCCTCAGCATGCTTTGCCATGTAGCATCTTTTGAGCTGATTTCTTCCGTGGACCCAGTCTCTCCAGGTGGGCCCAGGTGTCTCCTGGTTGCCAGGACTGCCTCTTCCTGTCCCTCCTCCATTGCAATTGGTCATCGCCTCCCTTTGAAATGTAACCCTTCTTCTAAGATGGGACCATTACTGCTTTCATCTTATGACTTGCACTTCTGGTAATGCCGTGGAGGGAAGGACTGAGTCCAGCCAACTCTTCAGAGCTTGCCGAGAGCATAGATGGTCTTCCCAGGCCCCTTTGAGGCGCTCAGTCAGAAAGTCCGATCCAGGCCAGAAACTGCCCCACCCCTACATTCCACCACAGCATGGCCAGGGTCAGGCCCCGCTGTCCCCCCGCCTCTCCTCTGTCTCTTACACTCATACAGGCACTCACACGCTCACTCAGCCTGCCTGAGCAGTTTCCCTGACGACTGGGGAAACAAAGCCAAGTTGGTCCCATGGGACAGGGCAGGGCAGGGCAGGGCAGGGCAGGGCAGGGCAGCATTTGGGGGTGCCCTGTAGGGGTGGGGTAGAATGGCCTGTTAGACTGGCCTGGGGGCCCCAGGAGGAGTGGGAGAGGGCAACTGACCTTCCCAGCACAATGACCCACTGTAAGGAGGCCCTCAGCCCAGTCCCTGAGAGGGGAGGACCCTGGTAGAGGGACATGACCCAGGGAAGTGACACATGGCATCTCAGAGTTGGGGAATGTCTGGAAACATCTCCTGCTGCCTCGTGTTGTCAGTGGGCCCCAGAGCTGGGAGGTGGAATGGACCCTGGACACAGAACCACAGATCTGGGATTGGGTCAGGGCCCTACCTTGGGCCAGCTGGGACCCCTTCCCCTTTGAGGACTTCACTGTTTGGGAAGGGCATCTTACTGGGGCCTGGCATTCAGGGTCGCGGAGGGTGGGACAGTGCTTGGCATGTGGTAAGAGCTCTCTGCAGAGAGCTGCTCCCGTGGGTGCCCCGGGGTTGGGACTAACTGTAGCCATGACTGAACAGCAAAGCCAGCAGCAGAAGCCACATCCAACATTTGTCCACTGCGCACTTCCCATGGCCAGACAAGGACGGGGACACAGGAAGGCACGCCACGCGCGTTCTGAGCAGCGGAATCAGTTCTAACGCAGGTGGCCTCTGGAGCTCGCCATCCGCCTGCTTCATGGATCTGCCCTGGTTTTCTATTTCTCACCTTTCTCTTGCTCTTTCCC